TCTGCATCTAGGAGACATGTTCAGCGATTAAGCGAAGGGATGGAAACAAGTTGCGCGTGTTTTTAAAGCCATCTTTGGATCAAAGTGAAGATTAAACAGAGGTATGACGAAGAATGATGATGAACTCTAAGAACTTCAGAACCCTGATGGAGATCTATGATGGGGAAGATGAGGTACTTACTGGATCCAATGAACAACGGAGAGGAGCCGCAGATTTTTCTCTGGTCTCGTTCAGGTTGATGCAGCAGCCAGGGTTGAGGAAGTCGACGAGGCCGGTGGCAGTGGTGCGCGGGTGCTTCGCGAGAGAGGGAGGTTGAAGACGAGAAGGAAAGGGAGAAATGAGAAGGCTGACTGACCCTATTAATAAGGGAATGGGTAACAGGCGGACGCGAGAATCGAGGAGGTCAATGAATGATTATCTAGTGACTCGGATGCCTCGATCTTCGGGATAACTATTAAAGATAAAGATCTGTTAAGATTTGTTGGGAATTTTGTATTAATATTTATGACAGGTGACGTCACGGCGGGTTACCGCAATCCCAGGGAATGACGTCATGGCGGGTTACAATATCTCGCAAAAGAACGAATGAGGAAGGATTTTTTAAGTATAAGATTGATATGAACAAGCTCAAATCAACATGGGGCCTAATGTTGGGGATATAGATATTGAGTGTAACATGCCCAAGAGGGGCCGGGTTATACTCATGATGGTTCATAAAAGACAAAGCCCATGAGGATATTAAGGATGGCGTTTCACGGAGCAGGCTGCTAAGGGCCAGAAGCCCAAAAGCGACTTAAGACCCATAGGTGTAAACCATCATGTATGTATGACTTGTATTGTAAGGAAAGTGTAACTAGTCACCGAGCCGGGCACGTTGTCTATGAGCCGGCCGGGACTTTGTAAGCCATCGGGTGTCAACCTGTGTATATAAAGGGACGACCCGACGGCGGGTTAAGGACAGAAAACTACAGATTGAAAGCTAGGTCAAGCGGATTCGCTCCCTAGTAATCAAAACCTAAGCAATACTACCTCAAACTGGATTAGGCCTTTACCTTCACCGCAAGGGGCCGAACAGTATAAACTCCCTGTGTCCTTTGTCCCGTTTAACCCCTTTAAGCTAACCTAGTGCGATGACTCCACGACTAAGTTCTCACACTAGGACATATGCTGTGACTATTCCACGACAAAATGCGTCGTTAGTAGATGAGGGCATCACATAGTTATCTGTTTTTGCTAAGTTTGTCGATGTGCATTACGTGAGAGCAAGTGCAAAGATGTTAGCTGAGTCATAGTACTAGGTAGTGTGAAAACAGCAACTTCCTTGATAAAGAAACTTTCATCTAAATTGGTGTCACCATTGCGTCTGTAGTCCAACGGTTAGGATAATTGTCTTCCAAGCAATAGACCCGGGTTTGACTCCCAGCAGACGCAATTTTTTCCTAAGGTGCTGCCACTTACTTGTTCCATGATATTAACTTTTTATTTTACATGGAAACTTTTTCAATAATATTTACTTTTTATTATACATGGAAACTTTTTTAGAGGACGCTCTGATTTTATATTCTATCTATCTATACATCTATAAACCTATAAAAAGACCCTGTGGGGCAGATCCAACAGATCTTGGTCATCCATTAGCGTAATCCGACAGTCCTTATTGCCCTAATGGTGAGCAACTAAACACATTTAGCGCTAAACGCGTTTATTGCTAATCAATCATTTCTCTCCCCGACCCCCTTCCTTAGGTATCCTTTCACATGAAAGGAAACTGCCATAGCGATCCATCGTGCGATCCCTTCCCTACGTACCCTTTCACACCAAAGGAAACTGCCACAGCGAACCGTCATGCGATCCGCTTCCTTACATAACCTTTCACATGAAAGGAAACTGCCACAGGGAACCGCCCCAAGGCGCTGCCCCATCACCTCGCTTCAGCGACGCACACTGCCCCCATTGCCTCGATCCGCAACTGCTTCAAGGACGCCGCCCCTCACATCTCTGTGCCGCCTCTAACCATCGCCTTTCCTGGCCTCGGCCGTAGCGCCGCCACCGTAACTTCAAGGATGTCAGCTGTCGGGGACGCCGCCTAGACCACCTGGTTGACCGGCGCGGGCATGTCGGAGGTGCCGCCTGGACCGCCCATCGCCGTCGGACCTGTCAGGGACGTCGCACGACCATCCGTTGGTCTCGGGCTGTCAGTTGGTGTCGGGCTGTCCGACCATCATGGACACTGCCTGGACCGCCTGCCTGTCCCTCTCTGTCGGGCCTAGGTCATCAGTGCCGCCATCAGGGGATACCGCCGTCAAACACGCAGCCGCCGCGCCAGAGGTCTTTCATCTCTACTTTCTTCATTTCTTCCGGAGAAGATTAATTCATGTTTCACTGAACAGAAAAGCAGCCTGTATGCACTAAAAACTGAACCCAAATCAGGCTTCGTAAAACTGAACCAAAAGCATCCTTATGTGCACACATTCAACAGTTATTAAGCTTCATTACCAACATGCGCTATGAAACAACTAGGTTACACAATGATATGGAACTTTTGGTAGCAACTGGGTAGTGGATCAGTTGTGCTGATTTCAATGAATTGTGCCTAGATTTTTGGATTTCTCTTTTAGCGGCATGAGGACAAGGTATGTGCCCCCTCCCCTGGTCACTTGCATATGCCATTAACTACGTTGGATTAGTACAATTTTCAACCCATTTGAAAGAAGAGATGAACCTGCCGCTGGTGGTGCTTACACAAACTATTTATTTTGATGCTACTTTTTAAAAGAAAAATCAGGGATATCTTCAAGCCGAATTAAGATTACACGTGCGTTGCACGTGCGCATTTACTAGTACTTTTAAGGATGCTAGATAATTGTCCGTGTGTTACAATTTTCTTTGTTTTTACATCATTGGTTGATGTACATCCATCCTATGATACATCCAACCGACCATTAGAGCATCTACAGAGACGTTTGGACGGACGGCTCGGTCACTGACTGGTCGTGAATATTCGTCTTAGACGGGCACCTCAAATTCCTGGACTGACCGGCATCCCTTATATCCAGCCCAAATATGGGGGCGCCCGGACGCAGCCACCACGTTGGAGTTGACAGACCTACCCCACCTCAAGTTGCACCAAATCCATCCCCTCGACCTACCGGATCTATTTGCTCTCTCCTCTCTTCTTCCTCCTTTCCACCGCCCGTCTCACAGCTCCATCGACACGCGCGCTCTGTCGCCTTTCCAAGCCTCTGTGCCGCCAGCACCGGCACCGCACTCCTCTCTCCCGTCCTCACCGCCGGGGGCGTCGTCGCCGGCCCGGATGCGACCGCGGTATGTTCGGAAACTCCTGGGCTCCCCCTTGCACTCTATGTGTCTGACACATAGTCCAACGTGGTATTTTGTAGGAAAAACAATGAACTCTGATGGTTCATCGGACGAGGAGTATGGACCGACATAGCTTGATCAAATGATACAATATGAGTTCTTCGATTGCTCGGATTCGGGCGAAGAAGTGGACATGACCATGCTCATGAGCATGCAAGAGGAAATGGACCGACAAGTAGAGCATATTCTTAACTTCAAGGGCTCAATCAAAGGGAGAAGAGTGATCAATCGAGATAGGGTGTCCGGAGCACGACTACTGTGCCAGGGCTACTTTATTCCGAAGTCCGAACCCAACTTTGCCGGATGATCCATGGTTTCATCAACGTTTTCGCATGCGGAAACCATTGTTTCTGCGCATTGTGGAGGGAGTGGAGGCACACGATGACTACTTCAAGCTCATAAGGGATTGTTGCAACAAACTTTCTTTCTCTGCTAAGCAGAAGCACGACTGCTCTGAGGATGCTTGCAGTTAGTACTGCCACAGATGCCGTTGGTGAGATAGTCAGGATGGGGGAGAGCACATGCCTGGAGAGTGAAGACTACCGTCGAGTTCTCCCGCATCATGGTGCGGTGTTTGGAGCAAAGTATCTGAGAGAACCAAATGCGCAGGACACAGAGAGATTGTTGGCTATTAGAGAGGCCAGAGGGTTTACAGGGAAGCTCAGATCAATTGATTGCATGCATTGGCAATGGAAGAACTACCCTAAGGTTTGCGGGGAATGTATCAAGGGCACAACAAAGAGGTCACCATCACATTAGAAAGCAGTTGCATCACATGACTTATGAATTTGGCATGCTTTCTTTGGAATGCTGGGTTCTCACACGACATCAACGTGCTTCAACGATCTCTGATGTTCATGAGGCTTTACAATGTGAAATCACCGTTGTGCAACTACACCATCAACGGCCATGACTACAACATGGGATACTATTTTGCCAATGATATCTATCCTCAGTGGGTGGCGTTTGTGAAGACAATTATTTCCGAACAACATGGCAAGAAAAAAGCCACTTTGCAACAATGCAGGAAGCAGCTAGGAAGGATGTGGTGAGGGCATTCGGAGTGCTTCAAGCTTGTTGGGCAATTGTTAGTGGTGTTGCAATGATGTAGGAATCAAAAACTTTGTGGCAGCTCATAACATGTTGTGTTTTGTGTTAGCTTCAGATTGTGTGTATCCTGAATGTCTTTCGACATCTCGTTGCTGCAGAGACTGGGTGTAATTGATATCTTCGCGATAATAATATATTCTCCTTAAAAAATGATTTTAGAGACAATATACATCCAAACGAAGAGTAGTTTAAAATAAAGTGCATTGGGACTACGCTCCTAGAAATCATTAAGGATCCAAGATTCCATGTATACGTAGTGTTTGTCTCGCTGAATAATATGAGCAAAGATCTCGAGATTAAAGAACGTATATCTCGTGCGGATGCAAATCTTTGCATTCCCATTTAAAATATATCCCAGTCTCTCGCTATTTATAAACTTGCAGTCCTTGTACGTCTCACACATTTGGATTCCAACTATTTCTCTGTTTCTTTCTACTAGGGCTCCAACTATTTCTTACCGGAACCTTACACGCGACTAGAACTGAGTTTGTCCAGCAAGAGATTTGCCAATATGAGAGGGAGCAGCCCAGTGCAGGGGACGATGATATTCTTCATCGGATGCCTTGTCGCGTGTGCACAGTGTAAGTACTACTGCATGCATCATCGCCGTCATTAGCATCTCGTGTTAGTAATTTCTTGCAATTAATTTTTCGGAACATACATAACATATAGAGTACGTCTGAGGTACTGCATACCTGATGTTAAATATAATATGTAGGTGGTCTTGATAATAAGCAAATGGTGGTCAACCAAGATGGTCATGCGGCGAACACAAGTACCAACGCTACCATCGTCAACTCGGCGTCTGTAGGCGAGAGCAAGATAACCTTGCAATTTTGCGTCCGCCGTTACTTTTGTCATTTCTCAGATGGGCTCCGTTTTACGTGCTACTGCTGCCAGAATAATGATGCCAAGTGTTTCAAGAGGCGGAGTGACTGCCTGGACAACTGCCCTACCTGCAACCCTGAATGCCCACCTTCATCGGGGCCTCAGGGATAGAATTCCATATGCTCGATTAATTTGTTCGTCTGTAATAAAAGGCACCTTTTTTGGTTTGGGCAATTGGGTTGCAACCAAACAGTACTCTGCAAACAATATGGTAATATACAGTACGCGTGCATGGTAAGTTACTTATACCAACCGTGCTAACTTTTGATGAAAAAAAACTAATCAAAAAAAAGCTAACCCTGTGACCCCTTGCTGTATCCGAAAGCTAATTCTGGATGCAAACGCTATTTTCTTCAAAATCCAATCGTATTATTTTTTTTTTTGCACGCTACTCTTTGGAAGAAAACACAATTTTATTTGGAAGCAATTTTCTCTCTCTTTTGGAAGGCATGTTGATAGAAACAAATATTTGTTTCACTTGGAAAATTAATGCTACATCATTCGAAGCAGAAAAAAACACATGTTATCTATGTTGGAAACAAAATACAAGATGGAAGCAATCTCGTTGGCACCGGAAGCAAAGTATGCGGGCGAGAATATTTTTCTTTTAGATGAAAGCAATATACCGATGCTTTTCAGACAATATGTAATGTTATACAAACACAGAGTACTATAAGCAAACATTATAAACAATCGAAGCTAATTCTCCTGTCAACAGAAACATAACTTTATGGTGTTGAAAGAATTTCCCTCAAATTCAACGTAATTTAAATTTCCTCTGAAGCAACATTGAATAACAAAGGAAACCTTTTTTAGTAAGGAAAGCAAACCACTACACCAGATTTCCGTCAAATGTTTCCTATTATGAAGAGTTTTTTTCCCATTATTACACCAGAAAATGATGCCTCCGTGCATCACCAAGAATGCCTTTATGGCATAAAATCCATGGCGTCATCCGTAAAGAAACACATGTAAAAAAAATCATAATTAACTGCTGGATTTTTTTAGGAAACAAATCGCAGTATTTGGGAGTTGCCGATTACGATGCAGCTAACCTATTGGAATTTGTTATCAGGGAAGGATCGCAATTTCTGGTGGTTCTCGATTAGGAGGCACCTAACTTAATGGAAGCAGTTATACAAGAAGTATACCCTCAAAAAAAAAGTTATACTTCCCTCAAAAAAAAAGTTATACAAGAAGCAAATAATTCACGAAATAACTGCTCGGCGGCAACCGGCTGTCTGATCTTAAAGCATCTCCAGCCGCGCCCCCAACAGGCCCCCCCCAGACCACTTTTTCGGCGCCGGCGTGAAAAAAACGGCCCGGTCGTGCCCCCAGGACGCTGAAAATCGCCGGCTCGGCCCTTTTTTCCGCCCGGCGGTCACAGGCCAAACCCGGCGCACTGGGGAGTAGTTGGGGGCTCTGGCGCAAGGAAAAAGCGTGGCTGGCCCACGCTGTCAGGGGAAAAGTCAAGGTTTTCTTCCCCGACTCACCTCCCACCCCCCGTGCCCTCGGCCACCACTAGCTATATCCCGGCGCCGCCCGCCGCCCTTCACCGCTAGATAGCCATTCCCCGCCGGAAAAATAGCAGCGCTTCACCGCAGCAGCCCCTCCAACAGCAGCTGGGCGTTTCCGGTCGTCGTTCCCGGCCGCGGAGGAGCAGTTTAACGGCGGGTACACGCCTACCGGGCGCAAGGTGTTCGGCGATTTGCCTGCCTCGGCGATGGACTCGGATAACGAGGAAGCGCTCGCCGCGCTGTTGGAGGAGGAAGCCGAGGCCGACGTCCAGGAAGAAGAGCATCTCATGGTGCTCGCCGCCCTCGCCCAGCTGCTGGCGAGCAATGAAAAGCCGCGGCGAGGAGGCTCGACGCCTGGGCGGGTTAAAGCAAAGAACCAGCATCGTCTCGAAGGCTACTGCATGCTCTACTCCGACTACTTCTCCGATGCTCCACTTCACGGCGAGAAAACATTTCGGCGTCGTTATCGCACTACTAGGAAAAGGCCTACTAATGGCGCATTGGTTTTGCCTACTAATGGCGCATTACCAGTGCGCCATTAATAGCACGCCACTAGTATATCTTACTAATGGCGCACCACGGGTGCGCCATTAGTATCTGGTATACTAATGGCGCACCAACTAGTGCACCATTAGTATGTAACAGCATGCGCCATTAGTGTGCCTCCCGGGGGGGCATACGTAAGCATGGCCTTGTCATACTAATGGCGCATTCCCTGTTGATGCGCCATTAGTATCCTTTGGCATACTAATAGCGCACCTGGTGGTGATGCGCCATTAGTATGAATATTTGGTTTTTTTCCTTTTCTGATTTTGCGCAGGTTATAAAATATATTATTAGACAGAATATAGACAGCAACATCAGATTCATCAAATACAATAGAAGATTAGTCTCCGAATACAATTCATCATATTAGTCTCCGAATAAAACATTACAAGTCTCAAGTCCGCGAGTATCGAGTTTGTCTTCACATTACAAGTCGATATCGATCATCTAAACTACCATCACATAGAAGAGAGTTGTGGTCATCACGATGAGCATCATCGCGATCAAACTGGTCTTCATCCGGTTCCTCCAACGCTCCCTCCTCTCTCCCGCTAGATAGCGGGCGTATCTAGATTCGGTCTCCGCCCTAGTGGTGTACCCTTTGTAACTATTACCGCTAAAACGGTGAACCTGTCTCCCACACTCCTCCCAGTCATCGTAGACTCCGGGAACCTTACCCTTGTACACGACATACGACGGCATCTCTATGCACAAGCCAAACAACAGACAATACATAAGCAATATGTAAGCATGCAACAAAAGGATCGGAAGAGAAAAGCAAGACATTAATAGCACGATTCATGGTCCTACTAATAAATAGCATCGATTACATCTAAGTTGAACGACTGTCCAAACCAAAAAGACATACGAATTCATTAAAGTATAATTACAACATGAGCCAATCAATGTTTCAGAACTACACATCACTACTTTCGACTCGACTCATCGGACAGGAACATGGATGAAGCCGCCGTCTGTCGTGATGGTCATGAAATCGCGGTCGTTGTCACCCTGCATTTGTAGCATTTCATCTATCTCACTGTTGGACGGTTGATATCTGAGGAAGAACTGCCCCGAGGTATGAAGGACATCTTGATGGATGATGTCCGCAAACTCTGACTGGATGCGAAAGAATTCTTGTCTGAGGTCCGCGTCCTGGACTGCCGACAAGCTCGCGGCCCAATCTTTGAGATTATCTTGTAGCAGAAGTTGATGATGGTCCCTTACGATCGCCCGCATGTGATGGAGGGCGTAGTAGGCATCCTTCTGACCGCCAGACGGCTGCTTGACGCAGCAGAACTTCGTATTGTGTGAGAACATGTGCTTGCCGTACTTACGAACTGCCCTGGTGAAGGTGCCTCCAGATTTGGCGTAGGCGGGGAGAACATCATCAAGAACTTGCTTGACATTTGTGTAGTCTATGTTGGAGTTACGGTTCGGGTCTAAATACGTGGCCATGGAATATTTCGGGCTTAAGAGGATGAGTGTGCAATGTGTGTCACTATACAGAACACGGAATGGTAGAAAAAAAAGAACGATCGAAATCTAAGAAATCATATGTTACGGGGCGGTTAAGGGATGACTTACTCGGGAAAGTAAGCCACAAGGAAGTTATCCTTATCTGGGTTTGCCAGAATGACGCCTTCGAGGTGTGAACTCGCAACTTGGCGGTCCCCAGCGCTGCTCAAGTGCTTGGCACGCATGTAGAAGGGGTCGACTATCACGATGTCCGGGGTCTTATCTCTAATGATCCGCATCTCCATACTCAGCGAAAACAGACGAACGAATGTGTAATGCAGCGGATGAAGGTTAAACATAGCAAAGATGTCATCAAACCGCAGGACGATCGTACCCCCGATGTCGCCATCCACAAAGCCCTTGCCCTCTGGCACCTTGGCCACGAAAACCAGGTATGCCACATCCTTCTCTCTGAGACGCCGCTTCTCCAAAGAAAGAACACTATCGTGCAGACTCCGCATAGCACCGGTTGCAGCATTCGGCATATTTGGCGGTAGCATCGCCCTACCCGCCACATGCACCCTCCTCGAGATATCCTTAGGTGAAGGTGGCCCGTCCTGAGCACGGATCGAACTCGGTGCCGGCTGGCTCGCACCGGCGCCCTTGTTAGTCTTTCGTTTCCGTCCCTTCTTCTTGATCTCCTGTAATGGGACCGAGTTCTGCTCACAGACCGCCTTCTTGAGCATGTTGGGGCTGATAATATTTCGCACCTCAGCTATCTGAGGCTTGGTGAAGGCGGGAGCTGGAGGCGTGTCGTGAGAAATGAACGCCAGACGACGCCTGTTGCAATGGATTTCTCCGCCGTACCAGCTAGATTGCGGTCGTCTTGGTTGGGTTCTTGAGAAAGAGGCCCGCAGAACTCGTCAGCGTACCCATGTTCGGCAAAGTACTTATCAACTTTGGTAAATGTACCGTCGTCGTTGTCGTCGCCGTCCGGATCCTATGCCATAGGGCTGTCCGGATCCTGTGCCATAGGGATGTCCGGCAGGTCCGGTAGCATTGCGGCGTTCTTGCCATGGCTTGGCGCCGGCACGACTGGCGGTCTTGTCTGTGGGGTGGTGTCCCCCGCCCCCAAACGAATCTGGCTCTTCGGCCAAAGCAGGGGCCAGTTTACGCAGGTGCTGAGGGTCATCTCATCTTCTTCGTCGGCCCCAGCGGGTCGAATCGGAGGTAACAGCTCGTCGCAGCCTGGCAGCACCCGAACCACTTCAACCCTATACATTTTGGGTGGCATCGGATTACCATGGAACATGGGGTTGCCCGGTTGAGAGATTCTACCCTTGGCGACATCGACCAACTCGGCGCCCACGAAATGCAGAAGAGTGCAAGGAACGTCGGCGGTGCCCTGCGAAAACATGTACAGGGCGTCAGGGATGCCCAGTCAAAGGCAAGGAGATGAAGTCATCGGCCGAGAGGCTTGGTTACCGTGATGCCGTCGAGCTCGGCTAATGTCGAGGCACCGCCAACGGCGGGCGTGCAACTGACGGAGGGGACGCTTGCTGGCGAGGTGCCGGCCGGCGTACACCTGGG